CATATTTACCACACAAGACTAGTAGCTGATTTACAGAAAAAAGTGGCTGCATCAAATGGGATGTTAGTTACAAATTTTTCTCGCACCCGTGAATTGTTTCGTGTAACCGAAATACCACGTCCGCTGCAAGGGATTGAAGCTAACTCTTTCAGAGTTAATCTGCAAGAGAGGTGGTGCGATTGTGGTTTCTTTCAAGCACTTAAATATCCATGCTCTCATGTCATTGCTGCTTGCTCACATTCGCATTTGGACTACAAAAATTATGTTGATCCCGTATACCAACTTTCACAAGTATTTAAGGTATATGAATTTGAGTTTCCGCCCATAGGAAACGAAAGAGACCCAAATGAGATTCAAACTTGGCTTACAATTGTACCAGATCCATTGCTATTGAGGGACTCAGGTCGTCCAAAATCTACTAGAATACATTGTGATATGGATATTCGGGAGAAGTCAACAGAACAAAAACGATGTGGGCATTGTAGAAACATCGGGCACAATAGAAAAAAATGTCCAGCTCTGTTATCATCATATAACCGTTAACTCTTATGTAATTAATATTGTATTTAAATGAATGTTTTTGTTTCTAATAATTTAATGTTATTGCATTTTATATAATTTGTCAATGTATGTACACCTAAATAATTTTTTTAACTTTTAAATACATAAATATTTTCAATATATTTATTTAATATAATAATATTATTAGTTATAAATTTTTTTAAAATATAATAATAATTCCACCTTCTAAGTAGAGAAAAATATTAAATTAAACAAATTAAAAGTTATTAAAAAATTTATGTATACGATGACACATTTCATGTTTTGATTGGAGGATTAAATTTATTAAATTAAATTTTCAATAAGACTAAATTCATAAAATATGTAAGTCTTGAAGATTAAATGTGTAATTATACTAATTTATTAACTTATGCATCAATATTTTCGTTAAATATTGATAAGAGATGACTAGATTGATAACATTTAAATAATTAACTGATAAAATTAATAGATCGATAATCAAAATCAAAAATATAATATAACCATATGTGTAATATTATAATTTCATACATTTTTCCTATAACTACAATAAAATCAAAACTGGTTTTCATATATTGTTCTATCATATTAATGTAGATAATTCACTCTACCTTTAACACACATTAACAAAATACATTTGATAATTCTTACATTATAATCGAAACACTTTACATAATATATTACTAATTTATAATAATAATAAAAATAAAATATTTATTATTAAACAAAATACCAACGTGGCAGTCGAGTCATCAGAATCCTGTGAAGGCGCGTCCCCGTGGATGCGTCTTCCACACGTGACATCCAACTCAGCGAAAACCTAGGTAAAACGCGTCCCTAGGAATGCGTCTTTCGCCAGCTCAGTCGAAAGGGTGCCACTTCAAAAAATATATATCAAACGGTGTTAAAAAAGTAAATATTCAATTAAACCATATAGTTTGATCAAATCACCTTATAAACACGATGTCGAAGAAGAGAGAGATATTTAAAATTTAGTCGCGTGCTGATGGGAAGACCGTCTATCTGCTACGACAAGATTTTGACATATCCTAAACCATCAGCTCATTATTGAAATTCATTACCCTATATGGGTTCTTTTTTCCATCAATTTTTCCGCATCCTACAAGATAATAATATATGTACTTGGATTATTAATTTATTCTTCAAATATTAAAAAATATTCTTTATGTTTAATTAAATAATTATTTTTATTTTTTTAATATTTTAATCTCTAATATTTTATTTTAAGACAAAAATATTTTTCTAGATGAAAAATATTACTCAACAAATTATCAACGTTCCAAAACCGAGACCAAAATACTTAAAATATAAACTCAAATTACTATTTAATAAAACATTATAGCTATTTTTAGCCTATGCCATTAATTTAGGATAAAATACACAAATGATCCCTAACTATAAAAAGTTATTTTGTTGAGTTCCTCGACTATTAAAAGTTACAAAATGGTTATCAACTATTCATTATGTTCTAAACGTGTCTTTTTTCATTAAAAAATTAACAACAGTCTGAGTTAGACTATAACTTGCGGATCGAGATATGATAAAATTTGATGTCATAATCTCAAATTACTATCATATCTCAATCATCATGTTAATGTTCAACTTAGAAGAATGTTAATTTTTAATAGAAAATGACAAATTTGGAACATAATGAATAATTGGATGACTATTTTGTAACTTTTGATAGTCAAGGGACTAAAAAAAGCAACTCCTTACAGTCGGAGGACCATTTCATAACTTTTAATAGTAAAAAAACTCAACAAAATAGTATCCTATAGTCGGAGGACCATTTGTGTACTTTACCATTAATTTATTATAGGGGTGTATAAAACTTTTAAACTTTCAAAAGAAATCGATTATGACTTTAATTTTTTTTCTTCTAGTTGAATCTTAAAATTAGAAATTAAATATGTAATACCCTAAATTTTGAATAGTGACTAAAATGTAAGTTTTGAAAGTTTGAGAGATAAAGTATAAACTTTATAAAAGTTTAGAGATCAAAAATGTAATTTTTAAAAGCTATAGATTTTAGCTTGTAAATGAATAGTTTGGCATAAAAAAGGACTTTATGATAATCATATTTTCGGTATTGAATTTGTGTTAAAAGCTATAAAGCGATAAAGTTTGGTATGCAATTGGATAATCAGATCGAACCAGAATTTTATGAAAATTTGATGTTAGAAAATGGTTGGAAATATTATTTCCATATTTTATATCAGAGAAATTTGACTCAGAATAGTGTAATTTTTCCAAATTTGACCAAACAGTGGAATTTTAGTGATTAAAATGTAATTTTCGAAAATTGCATGACTAGAAAATTGGAAAACATTTAGGGACCTAAATAGTAATTTTCTCAAAAAGAATTTTTATTCTATAAATGAATAGTTTACTATTGAAAGCGGGGTTTTATTAACATCGGATTCTTGATCTGGAAATTGAATTAAAAACTAAAAAGTGTTGAAGGTTTGAATTATGATAAATTAGGATTAAAAATATTGTTTCCACATTTTAGAATGATGGAAAATAATATAGAGCATTGGATTTGATAATTTATTTTCATGTTCAATTTGGACAGGTAGATGAAAAAATAATAAAATTGAAATTTTTAAAAAATGACATGGGTAAAGTTGTTACACTTCATCAGTGAGGTTGGATTGGCCAAATTCTATACTAAAGGAAATAAATTTAATATTTAATGGATTAGAATAAACTATAACTTTAAAATGATTAAATTAGTGTACTTTAAAAACTGATTAAATAAGGGTAACATATATACTTTGGTACTTCAATTTAATTTTAGGATAAAACTTATGTTTACTCCCTTAATTATTATTTTTATTCCGTTTTGGTCACCCGTTAAAAACTTAACAAGATTGTTGACATGGTAATTTTTTTTACAGTTAATTGCATCATATGTCATCAAAATATACTTCTTTGTTTTAAATTAATCCTTAAATTTTTGAATATTTCAATTTCATCCTTAAACTATGACACTCTTTCTAATCTAATCGCCAAACTTTTGAATATTCAAATAGTGAGTTAGGCACTCATGGCTCAACCACCTGGGTTAGGGTGGAAATTATGCTTGTTTCTTCAAATTATATATTTAAGTTATACGAAACTATCATCACAAAATAAATGATTTTTATTTTAGTCAGATTCGGATATGAGACATTTGAAAAAAATATTTAAATAATTAACCATCAAATTAGAATAAAAATTAATTTAAACTCTATCAAATTTAATTATTTAATTTATATAAATTTTAAAATAAATTTTAAAAAATATGATAAAATTATAGTATGTCATATGGTAGTGATAGATCGAGAATTTGTTTTATAGATAAAATTAAGGTTAAAAGTAATCAAAAATACTTAATTAATTCGAATTTTAAACTTGAATTTTTAATTTGAATGAGAAAAGAGTGAATTAATTTTTTTTAAAAACGAAAATCGAAGGTTACTAGAATTATTAAACTTAAAGATTACTATATATTACATATAAATACACTGATGACAAAGTATATTTAAACTATTCCTTTTCCAATTATATATGAAACCACTAAAAACAACACCAACATAGTAAAAGTAAACTACACATTTAGTATTTAAACTATTACTTTTGTTATATTTTAATACTTAAATTTTATTTTTTTAAATCATTCTTAACGTTTAGTTTATATTTCATTTTGATATTCTGTCATTAAAAACTTAATGATGACATTGACATGTCACCATAAGGTAATGTCACATTATTATTAAAAAATAACATATATATATATATATATATCATGTAACAGTTTTGTTAATTTTTTTAATGACTGGTATCAAATTGAAACCTAAAATAAACGTTACGCATAGTTTAAAAAAAATAAAGTTTAGATATTAAAACGGAACAAAAATAATAATTTAGATACTAAACGTGTAGTTTACCCATTTATTAACACTAGCAAGCTACTTTATCCGGCTAAGCTTTTAAAAAAACTACGTGGTCCTCGTTCATCCACCGTGATCAAAATCAGCCTCATGGTATTCTGCACCAGCAATAAACACACATCAGCACTGTAATTTCAATTTAGACTGCTGTTCTTTTTTTCTCTTGTCTTTGTTTTTTTTGTACGCGTGTAAATAAGATGCAAAAAGGTGATAGTAATATGAATTTGATTACTTGTTGCAGTCAGTGGAGGGGCTGATCTTGTAAGGAACATGGACATTACATTTGTCGGGGAGGCTGGCCGCGTTAGCGAGGTTGAACCTCGTGATCGGGACTTCTTTAATGGCCGATTTAGTGCACCAGCACACTTTTTGACGGTCAGTCTTGGTTTGAGCCTGACCGAGGAGTGTTTTACCCCGTTGCAGCATTGAGCAGCCGGTTGACCGCCGCTTTGTAAGTAGGAAACGCACGGGAGAAAGTGGCTCACGACGTCATCGCACGTCAACGCTGCTTCGACTGCACTCATCGCCGCCATGTACACGATGAGCATCACGAAAGCCGACTTTCGAACTCCGGAACTGGCCATATTAAGCAGGTTTGATTAAAAGAAGGGTGTTTTTGAGTTAATTTGTGTACTCAAAAGACCAAATGTGTGTGTATTTATATAGATGTATAGGTGTTTAAGAAATCAACAGTAGAAATAGATGTGGTTTTGGTTGAATTTATTGGTGTGATGGGACATTGGCTGTGGAATTAAACGAGAGCCACAAAATGTGGGATTTGAGGGGTCAATTCACATGGTGAATAGTAATGGTGTCGGAAGCCATTGTTGTAGATGGAGGCTTGAAGTAAAAAACGAAATTCTAAAATACAATCAGATAATACATGATAAAAAAAGATTAAAATAGTTTACAATCGAAAATTTTATTGAGAATGTAACTTATTAAGTCAATAAAGTAATATTTTAGGTTGAAATTAAAAATAATATTTTTTTTATTGTAATTGAAAATATTATAAAATTATATAATTTTTTCGGTTATAAGTCCTAAACTCTTTGCAATATAACTTTTACGTTACAAAAAAAAATGTTACATATTTGTATAACTTTTTAAATTAAACATTGATAACATTTTAGTTTTAAAATTACCATAAATTAGATTACCGCACATTAGAACTAACTAGTAAAAAATGTGTTAATAAGATTAAACTTGTATAATGTTTAGGGTAAATTACATTCAACTTTTACTTTTGTTCTATTTTAGTCACTTAATTATTTTTTTTAAAAACATAATGTTTAGCTTTAGTTTCATTTTGGTCACCTATAGTTAAAAAATCAATAGAACTATTTGACGTGATATTTTTTTTTTCAATTATGACATAACATTATCTTACGATGACATGTTTGCATCACTGTTAAGTTTTTAATTGAGGCAAACAAAATAAAACAAAAATTATAACATTTCTAACATTTAATTTAAGTTTCATTTTGGTACCCTTTCCATAAAAAACTTATCGATAATGTTGATGTGTCACATAAGGTAATATCACGTCATTATTAAAAAAATATCAAGTCAGTAGTTCTGTTAACGATGGGATACCAAATTAAAACTTAAACTAAACATTAAGTATAATTTAGAGAGAGAAAAAAGTCTAGATATAAATACAAAATAAAAATAATAATTTAAATACTAAACTTATAGTTTAACCAATATTTTATATCAAGTGGAGAGAAGGACAATTGTAAAAGTGGAGTGACGTCACGGTTTGTAAACACGATGACGAAGAAGAGAGAGATATTGGAAATTTAGTCGCGTGATGATGAGAAATGATGATGAGAAAGACCGTCTATCTGCAATGACAAAGATTTTCACATATCCTAAACCATCAACTCATTATTGAAACTTCATTAAGCTATGGGTTCTTTTTTCCTTCAAATTTTCCACATCCTACAAGATAATAATGTATGTACTTGGACTATTAATTTAGTCTTAAAAGATTAAAAAATATTTTTTACATTTGATTAATTAATTATTTTAATTAGTTTAATATTTTATTTTTTACCGTTTCATTTAAGATAAAAAAAGGTTTTATTGATGAAAATTATTAGTCAATAAATAATCAACGTTCCAAAATAGAGACCCTTTTATCCTAAAATGAAACGTTACTTTCAAAATACCACAAAAAAAGAATATAAACTAAAATAAAATATTATATACCAAAATACTTAAAAATATAAACTAAAATTACCATTTAATAAAACATTAGAGGTATTTTTTAGCATATACCATTAATTTAGGATAAAGTACCCAAATGGTCCCCCAACTATAAGAAGTTGCTTTGTTGAGTTATTTGACTATTTAAAGTTACAAAATGATCATCGACTATTTATTATGTTCCAAACTCGTCCTTTTCTATTAAAAAATTAACAACAGTCTGAGCTAGACTATAACTTGCTGACCGAGATATGATAAAATTTGATCTCATAATCTCAAATGACTATCATATCTCAGTCATCATGTTAACGTTCAACTTAGAAGACCGTTAATTTTTCAACAGAAAAGGACAAATTTGGAACATAATGAATAGTTGGATGATCATTTTGTAACTTTAATAATCGAGGGACTCAAAAAAGCTACTCCCTACAGTCAGGGGACCATTTCATAACTTTTAATAATAAGAAAACTCAACAAAGCAATATCCTATAGTCGGAGGACCATTTGTGTACTTTACCCATTAATTTGTTATAGGGGTGTATAAAACTTTTAAACTTTCAAAAGAAATCGATTACAACTTTCATTTTTTTCTTCTAGTTGAATCTTAAAATTAAGAAATTAAATCAATTAAATTATTGAATCACAAAATTATTAATTATTTTTAAATCAATTAACTTTAAAAAAACACAAGTGTCAATAATATATTTTATTTGTTATTTTTAATCATATAAAAATTATTCAAAATTAAATCATAACCTCGAAAAAAACATAAGTATCAAGATTTATATAAAATTTAAAACTCCGTAAATTTTAAAATCAAATAATAAATAATCGGAATTTGAATGAGTTATAAACAGAAAAATCATAAAATATGCAAATTGAATATCAAAAGCTCGTTAACTATTCACACCATATAGATACTAAGTTAAATTAGCGTTTACAAAATTTAGGATTCGTTTCATTCTAGAAAATATTTTATATTTTTATTTTCTGTTTATATTTTTAGAAAATAGATTTTATTTTCAGTTTTTTTAAAATTAAAAACTTGTTTGGTTAATATAAATAAAAATTTGAATCCACATATTAAATAGTAAAAATATATTTAGTATCTAATTTTTCAAAATAGAAATAAATAAATAAATATAAAACAATTAAATTAAACTATAATTGTAATACCCCAAATTTTGTCTAATGATTAAAATATAAGTTTTGAAAGTTTAGTGGCTAAAGTATAAACTTTGAAAAGTTTAGCGACTGAAAATGTAATTTTTAAAAATTATATATTTTAGCTATTAAATGAACAGTTTGGATTAAATTATAGATTTTAGTGGGAATCATATTTTTTGGTACGAGATTTGTGTTAAAAGCTATTAAGTCGTAAAGTTCTGTATTGAAATCAGATATTCGATCAAACCAGAATTTTACGAAAATTTGTTGGTTGGAAATATTATTTTCATATTTTAGATCAGAGAAATTTGGCTCAAAACAGTGCAACTTTTCAAATTTGACCGAAACAATGACATTTTAGTGACTAAAATGCAATTTTTAAAAATTGCGTGACCAAATTCAAAAGTCAAAGCCAAGTTCATCTTTGACTGAGAAATATTTTATTGAAAAATAATACAATAACATTTGGTAATTTTCAAGATTTGTTAAAAGGGTATTTTTGAGATTTTACATTAATTGAATATTAAATTTGTAGATGCTTGATTTGTCGGGGGTGTTATTTGCATTTAATTGGGTTTTATTATTATTGTTATTATAATTTTGGTTATTATTATAAGTTTGGTATTATGTAGTTATTAATATATATATATAGCTAAGTAATTAAACAATTAAAAAAAATTTAAAAATACACTAAACATATTATTTGATTTTAATAGGCCCGAATTTAAGGAAAAAAGAGGTTACAACAGGCCCCGAAACTGAACCAAGCAAGCCCAAATTCGAAAGCCCAGTGCTACATCCCGCTTGAGGAAACCCTAAGCCTGTTAGAGTTTCCTTATCACCAGCTTCCATGCGCCGCTGAGCCTCCTCCGTTGGATCTGGCTTCAAGATCCAACGGTTCCCAGCTCTCCATGATTCCCAAGCCAGCTGCAGACTCATGTGAAGCCAACCCTACTGCCAGATCACGTACGCCCAACCGAACAACAGCACGTCTCTCCACTGTTACCGCCCGTGACCTGCTCGCTCCAGTGCCCTGCAAACACACCAAATGAGAGCAAAAACAGAAAAGAACGAAACTGGAAAAAAAGTCTATCAATTAGAAATAACGGGTGAACACAAAAAAGGGGGAGGAATGATAGTTAAGGACGAAAATGGTAGCAAAAAAATGAAAACATTAGCAATAGCCAAACAACCCGTTCGAGCAAAAATCAATCAGCAGCCAGTTAACACAAAAGAGTCTACCACCCATTCTAGCAACCAAAACAACGAAGTAAAAAAGCATCGAGTCACCAAAGAACCCGTGGGAAAAACCCAGAACAGAAGCTCACCTTTACCATCTAGGAGTCTTCATCGCCTTGGCTAGGGACCCATACCTCATCTCTGAAAAGGTAAACCTGTTGTCATTTTCTAGTCTCACATGTTTGTTTAGATTTTGGACTTTGGGTTTCTGGAGGTTTAGGTCGTGACGAGGGTTTGGTTTGGAGTAGCGGTTTGACTCCTCATCGGAGTTCTTGAACCTACGGTGGTCAGTGGTTTAGTTTTAAGGGGTTCATAACTCTGTTAGATCCTAGGTTTTGGGGGTCTTTATTTCAGTGAGAGCCTAGAAAAGAGAGGAGGGTTTTATCGGGGTTTGAAGCTCATTCGTCGGAGGCTACGGTGACCATGGTCTAATGAGGCTAACAGAGAATGGCGGGCTTTGGTTCATTTAGGGTTGAGAGGAAAGAAATAAAGAAGGTAAAGAGGGGCAGAGAGAAAACGACGGGAGGGGGGGTCTGTTTGTTTAAGATTGAGGGAATAGAATGAAACTAGGTTAAAAACTAAACCTAAGATACCTAATATATACAGTCTCCAAAACGGTGCCGTTTAGAACCCGTGCCTAGGAGAGGTTTAACCACGCCGCGGCCCCCTGCAGTTCTTAGTTATTTTGTTTTAGTCCCTGCTTCAATGTTGCGTAATCTTCGAATTTGGTTCTTAATTTTTATGTTTGTTGCATTTTAGTATGGGCTATGTTGTTTTAAATTTCTCACAACTTCATGTATTCGGATCTTAAATTTCAGAATGTTTATTTTAGTCCAGTTCGTCGGTTAATTTACATTTTGTGTTGTTTATATTTCTGGTTTGTTGTTTCGATTTCTTTTATTTTAGTCTGTTGTAGTTGATTTTTCGCTGTTTTAAACATTTGACCTTCATGTTTTGCATGTTACATTTTAGACCTCAGTTCGAGTTTTCTATGCTTTT